ACTACAACTTGTCTCAGCTCTTAAAAACAATTCACCCCCAATTTTCACCATTAGTAAGCATTCTAAATAACAAACAGTAGAGGATCCTACTGAACTATTATGGAATCAGGTCATCTTAATGAAAATGTGGTTTTCAATTCAAGGTTAAGAGAGCCAAGACTTGAGTTCCTACAACAGGCTTTTTTTATGAATCTGAAATAACAAGATAACTTCTATAGTAACTGCAAACAGTGAGCTGATTCTTCCTGCTTCAATTCTGTGCAGGAAAACAGCTGATACTGTGAAGCCTGACTGTCTCACCTCTCCTGTGCAGGTAGAGGGGACAGCTTGGAGTCACTGGGAACCTCACCGCAAACGTACCTCCACGTCGGCCTGAAGCAGCAGTCCCTGCCATCTCCCTCAGTTCCTCTCTCTGTTCCGAGGGCTCCTGACCACTCAAAACTCCACCCCATCCACCTCCTCCCAGCTGCACGGCTTGCCCTCGCACTATCTCACCTTAGCTTTTTAACTTGCCTTTTTTTGCCTTTGTTCCTCATTACAGCTAAAGAATTGTGTCCTCTATTCATTCTTAATACACAACCAGGTCTGGCACATACTAAATAAATGTTTGTTCAATTGATGGAAGAATCACAAAAACATGCTGAGAACTCTTCTCTTTAAAACATTCCACATTCTTTAGTCAGGCCTGGTAGCACACACTTGTAATCCCAGCACTTGGGAAGCTGATGCAGGAGGATCACTTTGAGTTCAAGGCCAGCCTGGACCACGTGGTAAGACAGTCTCAAGGAAAAAAAAAGTTCTGCATCTGGCCACCTTAATGACATAGATGCAGAAAATCAGGTAAGTAATTCAATTTTCATTCAACACAGAGTTAAACAAAGAATGTCAATACTTTTGGAGGACCTTAATAGGCCCTGTATAATAATAAACCTCTCCAAGATGATCATCACATCACAAAGTTGTATCTGACGCTGACAACCTTGTGCTGAACCAACAGCATCAAAGTTTCACCCAGGGAAGTTATGGTCTCATCAAAGGTAAGAAATGAGCCTGGTAACGAAGAACTCCACCCCAGCAGGAAATAGCTGTTTCTCCTCTAGTGTTAGAGGAGCCAGCCAGGGGCCTAGCACACCCCACCACACCTCAGCATCGTGTAATGTCCTCTGCACCTGCTGTCTGGAGCCCGCTTGGATTAACGAAGGCTGAACACCAACCCTTTGTGACGGAGTGGCTTTCCTCCTCCCTGTACTGGCCCGGGAGCTGGGACATCCTGTGATTTCTCAGTGATTTCCTATAGGGCTGTTCCCTCCCTGCAGGTGGGGAGAGGTAACTTTTCCCAGGAATTCTCATTTATTTTATTACTAAATAAATAAAGAAAGAAAAATAAAGAACCCATTTGCCTCAGTCCTAACAATTCTGAGCCCTACCACCACCAACTTACACATAAGAGATGAAAGGAGAAGGATTAAGTAATCCTCCCAAGACCACTCATTGTTTTGTGGTGGAGCTGCTGCGGTTTGAACCTAAAGCTACCTCAGTCCAGATACAGGCTCTTTCCAGTGTAACACAAGCCTTCAGCAGTTTCCACTGGTTTGAACCACTGGTGGTACCTGCATGACTGTCCCATTGACTGGCTTGTACCAACAGATCTAATCACCTTTATTGGTCTTTTTACTAATAAAAGTAATAAACAGCCACCCAATGGGAAAGTCATGTCTGTACCACTAATGGTACAAGCCACCTGGCAGCAAAACATATGAATTATGCCCTATCATCAATAAGTTAAAAAGACTAAAATACTGTACACCTGCAATCCCAGCACTCTCAGAGGCTGAGGCAGAATGATTACAAGTTCAAACATAAGCTGGGCAATTTAGTGACTTAGCAAAAACCTGTCTCAAAATAAAAAATTAAAAATGGAGCTAGGAGGAATATAGCTCGTGCAAAGGCCCTGGGTTCAACCCCTAGTGCTAAGGAGAAAAAAAGATTAAGGTATTTAACTTAGTTATACAACGAAGAGTACACTTAACTGAAGACACAGCGATGGGTAAGATATTCAGGAATTCACAAAGGAAGCATTACACTACATGAAAGTACCATGTCTAACAGGATGTAATGGAAGCACACAGGAGCTGCTGAGTAAACAGAAGGACTGATCTAGGTTAAGACAACACATCTGAAGAATAGCAAGATGATCAGGATGGTGCCTGCTCTTTTGTTAGACCATTCCTTCTGAAGTCCTACTATGTGCCAGGCACTATACTAGACATAAGTATTGCCACGAGACGGAGCCTCTGCTTAAGGAACTTACAGTCTGTCTGAAGAGATAGAGAAACATAAAACTGTAACACAGACACTGGACATTAAAATACTCCTGGACAGGAAGAAGGTGAATTAGGGCATTTCATGCACTTCCAAGAGATCCTTAAGGAGAGAGTGCCTCATTCTGAACCACCACCAAATACCTCCAGCCAGCCAGGTTTCACACTACAGAAAGTCGCCATTTCTCCTACCTCAACTCAAACCACAGCTGCTGGAGCCAAGAGTAGACCTGTGACCAAGGAAAGGCCACCTGCCTCCTATCTACAGGCTGTGGAGTGCAGCCTGCACACAGAAGGAACCATGCTACTCAGGTGTTCCCCTTCCAAACCGAGAGGGTGCACTGAGAGTCCCTGGGGCAGCGTCTGCGCCTCTGGTGATCAAAACACAAGAAAATGCAGAACTAAATGTAGAGACTATGGAAATGGTTGCAAAGTGTGCTAAGGGGCTGATTCTAGCCCACAAATGTGTTCTGTAACCTGCACAACACATTACATTTTAAGAAATGATACCCAGCATGCGGTCCTACATATCATTCTCTATAAAAATGGACGAGGACTCACTGGGAAGAGTAACTGTCCTAAGATCTGGGAATGGAATATGTAAAATAATCTTGAATTTGCAATCCTCCTGACTCAGCCTCCTGGAGTGCTGGGATTACAGGCATATGCCACCATGCCCCACCTACTTCACTCTTTTTAAACAGCTACTTAGCTAGGGATATAGCTCAGCGGTGCAAGTGCCTGCCTGGCAAGTGGAAGGTCCTGAGTTCAATTCCCAGTCCCTAAAAAAATATAAATAAATAAAAAGCTACTTAGATGGGCGTGATGGCACAAGTCTGTAATCAAGGCCAGCCTGGGCTACAAAGTGAGCTCAAGGCCAGCCTCAACTGCATAGCGAGACCCTGTCTCAAAAAAGACA